ATTGTTATTTTACGGCGATAATCTTGTTTTCTTGTGCCCAATAATGCATAATTTCATTTGATAAACACGTTTAGATTATAATCAGTCACAAGAACGTCGAATCTGAATCACTTGAAAAAAACACGGGGGTGCTTAACTTTTTTCCAGGTGTATATTTTTAATTAAGAAGTTAGCTTTGCACTGGCATCATCCAGATGTTTGATATATATGTCAGTGATGTTTTAGGATGACTTAGGATCATCTCAGAAAGGCTGAAGAACATAGACTGGAGATTAAATCTAAAAAGTGCACTCTAATATGTACAGAGCTTGAGTTTCTGAGAAATGTGGTTGGTATAGTAAGTTTCTAATAATTCCACCATCTTGGATATGAGATATGATATTCCAAGACTTGGAACTGATAAAGCACACAGTCATTTGATCATTGCAATAATAAAAGGCTTGAGGGCATAATACGTGGAAAGAAAAGTTGCTGAAACAGACATGATATGAAGACAACATGAGGGAATCCTCAAGAGCCGCGGCTGCAAGTATATCTCAAATCGGCCAAGAGATGGAGTTACGAGATAAAAGTTTGTACTTGAGACAAACTCGGAGTCATTCTATGAGCCGCTATGGTGTGGCTAAAAATGGCATTTTATCAATGAAGAGTTCAATGAAACAATGGTCTATCATGATATGTACTATTGCTCTACTTAAACTGATTGGAATTGAATAATAAGATACGAATTTTGATAGATATAAAATTGTGTATTAAAACTGTTGAGGTCATTGGATAACAAATAGAGAACCGTTCCAAGTACACGCAATCAGCAATAAAATATTAATTATGACATTGAAAAAGATGTGAACAAGACCTCACAACACAATTTTGCTCCTTCAGAGTTGAAAATTGTTTTTGTGAAAGTCATAAAATAACCTCGTGTTCTGGATGATGTTGATAATTTACAACCATCCCTTGAAACAACACATTCTTGCTCAAACTTAACCATAGAGTGTAACACCTAGGGCTGAGCTGGTACACAACTTAGTCCAAATTTACCAGGTTTAGTTGGTTTCAGAATTTTAGTAAAAAGGGAAATTTTGTGGCCCAGTCTAGGGAAATTCCTTTGAACAAACCTGGCAACACTGAGTTAGTTCGCTAGTTGACAAGTCTACACGCGTTTCGCAAATGTTATTTTTTCGTCTTAGTGTTTTGCAATATGAATACTTGTATAAATATGGTGCTACTAAACTACTAAAATCACATAACAGTTAATCACTATTAAATGTTCCTAAAGTAAGTACATAGCAGCATTTGATATATTAATGTTTATAATACAGTTAAATATTACGCAAATTAACTTCACATAGTGTTTTTGATGGGATCTAAAAATATTTTTTGTTCCAGGATTGGAAATTTCTCTTGTGTGTGTGTGTGTGGGGTGGGGGGGTTGGTTTGT